TAAATTTTATGTCATTAGATTCCTTATCTCCCCACGAGTTCATACATATCAAAAGTTCCAAAATCCGATCACAAATGGTCCTTCAAATTCTCAATCAAAGGCCTAAGTTTCCAAGCCCTAGCTCCTCAAATTTACCTTAATTACAGCTCTAATCCGTGAATTAATACCATAGAAACGAGTTTTCATAGTCCAAGACCTTACCTCAATGAAGTCTCCTTGAATTCCCTCTCCAAAATCGCCCAAAGCTCCAAAATTCGTGTTTAAAAATGGTGAAACCCTTTGAAAATCGCGAAGGAGGAAATATAAACATTCTGACCCAGGATTTTCGCACTTGCGGTCAATCCACCGCATCTGCGGTCCAAGGTACCGCATCTGCAGTTTTCACTTAAGCTCCGCCTTTCCGCATCTGCGATGCCCAATCCGCACCTGTGCCATCGCAGGTGCGGTCACACAACTGCTTCTGCGGTCACAGCCAATCACGCCTCTGGCCGCATCTGCGGCCCCCTTTTCGCTTCTGCAAGACCGCACCTGCGGTCACCTAGCCACAGGTGTGGTTATGACAGCAATTCCAACACTTCAGCTGCCAAACCACTTCCAAACTTCCCATCAACCATCCGAAATCACCCCGAGGCCCCCGGGACCTCAACCAACAGCACAAACACATCCTATACTACTACTCAAACTTATACCAACCTTCAAAACACCCCAAACTATATCAAAACCACCAAAACACATCGAATTCAAGCCTAAGGTTCTAAAATCTTCCGCATTCCGCTTTTGATCAAAAAGTATACCAAAACCACGTCCGAATGACCTGAAATTTTGCGCACACATTCCAAATGACATAACAAAGCTACTGTAACTTCCGGAATTCCATTTCGACCCCTATATCAAAATCTCACCTATCAACCGGAAACGCCAAAACTCAACTTCGCCAATTCAAGCCTAAATCTACTCCGGACCTCCAAAACACATTCCGATCACGCTCCTAAGTCCAAAATCATCTCTCAAAGCTATCCGAACCATCGAAATTCACATCCAAGCCCTCTAACACACAAGTCAACATTCGGTTGACTTTTCCAACTTAAGTTTTCTTAAAAGAGACTAAGTGCCTCAAACCTTACCAGAACCTTTCCGAACCCAAGCCAACCAATCCGATCACACATAGAATTGATAAACAAAGCAAATAGAAGCAGAAATGGGGGAAACAGAGCGGTAAATCATGAAATGACTGGCCGGGTCGTTACATAATCAATTTTCAACAAGTTGTTCATCAATTCGGTAAACTCGTTCCAACTCTTAAGTTTTAATATTATAGTTTTTTATTTTATTTATTTTTTATTATTTGATTAATTAATATGGCTTCCTTAAAAAAACTTTTTGTTAAAAATAAGGGAAAACATAAGAGTGGCGAATTTAGTGGTCAATCTTTTCCTCCTCCACTACCCCCGGCTCCCCAAACCAAACCCCATAATCCTTCCTATACCTGCTATTCTTGATAGCGATAATAGTTTATTATAATTTACTAGAGAGTCAATTTTTCCATAATGTTGGAGCCGGTGAACTATTAGACCATGGATTAATGAATGCTCTTTATTCTAATCCAACTATTTATGAAAATAATGAGGAGGAAATAGATTATGATGAAACTCAACCGGATGGCGATACACCCACTAGTCCTGCTCCTGAAGTTAACCCAACTAGTAATAACCCTGCTAATCCAAATAATGCCCCATCTGATATTCCTGTTACCGCCCCTACTTTTTCTAGACAACCTACCAAACGGACGGAAACATCTTCTGTTTGGCCATTTTTTACTCAACTAATTTAAGAAAATAAGGCTAAGTGTAAAACTTGTGGCACGGAGTTAAAAATTAAATACTTTCAGTCGCGGGGTCGTGGGGGGGAGGGGGGAGGGGGGAGGGAACTTTGGCTAGACACATATTAAAACACATTCAAGATATAGTCAGATATCTTCGTCTGAAAGCTTTGGCCGAGGGGAAAAGTGTACCTCCTAGTCAGGCTGACCCTAGTACTGGTTCAAATCAATTTCAACCGGGAATTAACACTGTTACCGATCGTATTTTATATTATGATCCAAAAAAAGATCGGAAAGAATTGGCAAAAATGGTTACTGTTATGTGCTTACCCTATAGTTTTCCTTCTGACCCTAACTTTGTATTAGAAAATTTTTAATCCTACTTATAAAGGTTTTCCTTGCACAACCGTAAAGAGGAATATTTATAAATATAAACATGAATATGAACAATATTTGTGCTATTTATTTACTCATATAAATTGTCGTGTTGCTATTACAACTGATATTGGTAAAAGTGGTAACGATTGTGATTACTTTACTGTTACCGGTCATTGGATTGATGAGGATTAGATAATGCAAAAGCGCATTATTGCTTATAGAATAATTAATATTAATTCACGTCACACTGGGCAGTTTATTCCTAGCACAGTTACGGATATTTGTATTTATTTTTGCATTAGTGATAAAATAATATCAGTTTCAATGGATAATGCTACAAGTAACACAAATGCTATAGTTTTGCTTATCACTACACTAAGTCCTGCATTTAGTAACATTTTTCATGTTAGATGTATTTGTCATATTTACCATTTAATTGTGGGCGATGGTATGAGGATTTTAAATATTGAAATGGAAAAGGTTAAAATGGCTCTTAATTGGCTTTTTTATTCAAACCGTAGAAGTAGACTTAGAGAATATTTTAAAAGATGCGATGAATTTGGCCTAAGAGAAAGAAAGATTCCTAAACTTTTTCCAGCTAGATGGAATTACATGTATGAAAATATAGTTTTTGCATATGAATATAGAAACCCCCTCAACGTTCAATGCTCATGTAAGTGATGACGATGAGCACCTTACAAATGCGGATTGGGCTAATGTTAAAATGCTTGTAGATTTTTTAGAAAAATTTCATATTGCTACAATAAATTTCT